AACTAACTAACTAACTAACTAACTAACTAACTAACTAACTAACTAACTAACTAATTAACTAACTAATTAAATAACTAAATAAATAAATAAATAACCAACTAAGTAACTAACTAAATAAATAAATAAATAAAGATATGCTAGCAATTACTGGCTTTCCTGATTTAAAAGTGTAAAACCCTGATGGCTGCCTATAAACGTTGCAGGGGACCTGAGAGCGACCTGTGCTTATCGCTACAATTTGCATTTTTTTCTCTGTTCCTTTTGATAAACCGCCCCATTTCCCACTCATTTTTGATTGACAGGTTATGCAATTTGATTGAGAATTATCACCTTATGCATCTTTCTCTAAACCTGTTCCCGATACTACTTCAGCGACTAAATGAACTGGCGCACAACCTGCGGGCCCGTGAACAAGAGCTGGCCGGCCGAGGCTCGAACCACTTCGGACCGGGACTCGGCATGGCCGACCGCCAGACAGAAGAGGACAAACGTCTGATAGTCGAAAATCAGCAATTACAGGCCAACCTTAATGTAATGACACGTCGACTCGCCGTGAAGGAGGAGAGTTTGGCCAAGCTCAATGCTCTTCTTCAAGAGGCCTATCGAGAAGCGGAACATCTTACAAAGAAGCATGCCTCGGAGCTGGCTGCTCTTAAGGAAGAGGTATGGCAAGATGGCATCAAGGGCAGACCAAAGAGATTGGTAAACAGGGCCAAGCGGATGAGGAAGTTGAAAAATGTCACCTCCAGCCTTGCTTTTGTTCTCGTCTTATCTTGAGGTGGTATTCAAGGCTGATTTTACCGTATTCTGGGCCCAGTGTAAGGTTGTGTCTGAGTATATCTGTTTGGCCAAGAAAATCCTTTCTGAACTTGCGTTGTCACTGCAAAACGCAACGACTTGCCTCTTCTGGCTGAGTTGGCCCGACCATTAGGCAATCGGCACCAGTTAAACTCACTTGTACATAAGATACCTAGGGATTTTTTGTTGCCAAATTGTGCTTTTATTCTATTAATTTCGATTATATAAGATGTATTCACCATATTTCGTTTCAGTGATAAGTAGACTGGTAGTTCAATTTCTTTACAATCATATTAGTAAACCATACGTTTCCATTGATTTTTGCATAGCCTTGCTTTCATAAAATGTCTTTTATTCCAGGCTGGAGTGGACTAGAATGGACCTCGATAAGGTCTAGGGTCATAGGACATATGTGAATTCCAGGGAAGGTTAGGCATCTTCACATATCAAATTCCATGGTGGGATTGTTAATGTGAGATATCAATCTGCTGATATTTAAATTTTCTCACAACCCAAAGAAATTTAATGGAAACGTTAGGCCTACTTATATACTAGCGTTAAATTTCAACTGCCAATCCTTCATTGCCTTATGCAACCTTAAGTTACATCTTATATATATGATTTGCTGGTAGTCTTGAAAATCTGCTTATAAAAGCAAAAAACAAGTAATGTAGTCCATTCCTTCATTGATAATCCCAGCACAGAATGTGATATGGGAAGATGCCTGGCCTTCCTACAAATTCATACCTGACCTGGGACCCAAGGGTACCCGTGGTATTGCGGTGTAGTAGTTAGGGTATCGAGATTATATGCTACAATGTCATGATTCTAGTGCCGCTTTGGGGGCTGATAAGACCCGGGTGAAGCGTTTTCGAAACTGCAGTCTACTCCAGTCGGGATGACAACATCTATTGGGATAGCAAGGCCAAGTGAAATTCAATGGAAACGTAGTGTCTTCCCATATCATTTTGATAAAATTCAACTACCAGTCATTCATCACCTTAAGCGAAATAGGGTGAGCACAGCTCATATATATGATTTATAGGTAGTTTCTAAAACCTACTTACAGACGAAAGTTTATAGGGTCGTTCTTTTCGAAAGTTAATCCGCCTCCTCAACATCAGCATCGTCATGATTCCTGCTCAAGCAGTTATGTCGATAAAGAATCTGGACCACCTTCACTATTTTCCCTCTTTGTAAACAATTTAAAATATCATATTACAAGTTTGAATTAATCACTTCCGTCCGTTAGAACAGATAGGAGGGCTAAGTGAATTAGGTAATCAAAGCTTCTGCTTGAATGATTGATTTTCAGATAATAAATACAAATATTCTGGAAGAATTAAATGGACTGTGTTTTGGTTGATTTGCCAGCATCGGAGCTGTAAAGATTACTACAGCTTTCCGAGCCCTATTACATATTATTTGGTCTTCAGTCTTTTTAAAATGTCAAAGAGCTGACTTTGCTATGGATTAAAATGGGGTCTCAAAACCATCTTTCACTAGTTTATATCTGATTTTAAGCCATAAAAAGTGGCCAGGCACAAAGTTA